CACACACACACACACACACACACACACACATACTCATACTGCTTTCTATTAACTAAGAGATATTGCTGTGCAATTTAATAGCAAGTGAATGATTCATCATTAGAACAGTCACTGCTTCTTTTTCTGTGCATGTGTGTGTGTGTTTGTGTGTGTGTGTGTTTGAGACAAAGACCTTAACTCAGCATGTTCTGGTTGAAACTGAAAACTGTTTGGGTGGAAAGAATACCAAAGACCTCAGTGTTGAACGCAGATTATTGTTCTATCATAGTTTTTATGGCAAGAAATTTTAGTTATCATGTTAATAATTTATTAATGTGTACATTGTTGGACACATTAACTGTGAGAGAGCAGGATAAAAGTTAAAAGCTACTCAGGACTGAAGTATTAATATTTACATATTAGCAATAGATCAGATGACTGTGTGTATATAAACAGTGTAAATCATAGAGTTGGGAACTTTCACCTACTCAGCTTTTCAGCAAACTCTTTTTGTTTGTTTGTTGTGTGTCCAGCAAACTTGATGTCTTTCAGTCTCAGAGCTCTCGGTCTCTCATCATCCTCCATTATCCAGGCAGCAGCTGTTTGCAGCGAAAACACAGCACGCTACCTGACCTGCACCAAGCGTCAATCGTAGATGACTAATTTGAGCATCTGACAGCTACAAACGTCAGAGTGAACACTGTTTTCTTGTCAAGTGACAGACAGGAAACAAGACTTCAAATCAACGTTGATTTTTCCATACCTGCTGGATTTGTGGCAGCTGTTTGCAGAAAAACATCAGTGTTTGCAGTATTTATAGATTGTGGTGCAAAAAAACAAATTGATACAGGTTTTAACTTAACATCACACACACAAGCACAGATACGCTCCCTCTTTCTGCAGCCGCCAAGTCGCTGACCTCTACATTGAAGGAAATGCATTACTTTTCTTTGTCAGGGTTCTCCATCTTCTCCTTTCTGCTTTGTATATCTTTCTATGTGTGTATGGGAGAGAGTTTACTATATGTTGACCTCTTTAGTCAGTCTGAGTTCAACAACCAGTGGAATAGGGAGTATGTGGCCATGTCACATCCTCTGTGTACTGATCCACAAAACACACACACACACACACACCAATGTCTCTAAAGCCAGATTCTGCTGATTTATGCCACTGGCTTTCTGTGTCACTGACACTCTGGCATTTCCAAAGCTGCTGCAGTAACATAACAGGCCTTAGAGCTTTTTTTTGTTTTAGTCTCCTTATTCGATCTAATGCTTGTCTTATAAAAACAACACAAAGAACTGCTGTTATAAAGCGTTGAATGTACCATGCGGGAACAGTTAGTAACTGTTAATTTTTAGATTAGATTCAACTTTATTGTCATTGCACATGTCACAAGTACAAAGCAACGAAATGCAGCATGCAATTTATGAGTGCTTGAGCCATTTCTGCCATCTGATTAATACTGCAATCCGTCCATCCAGTTTGATGTATTGACAGGCAACCGTAATATTTTTCTCCCTAGCCTCAAGATTAATGCAGGCCTTGATCACATGACCAGAGCTTCCATCAGCCCTAGTTAACAGGAAATCCATTGATCCACAGCTCTCTGCTCCTCCCAGTGGGTCCCATCATAGAGATAGAGCAACTAGATTGAGTGATTCTCTCAATTTTTATCTTTTATTTATACAAGAGCAGGATTGTAGTCTGACTTTAAACAGATCAATGTTATTCTTTTAGGGTTATATTATATGATCACATCATATCTTGAATAGGATCATTTTATCACAACAGGTCTTTGCAGTGAATCAACAGCTTGAGGTCTCCGTGGATAAAGAGTGCTTGAAACATCTTTACTCCTCGTAATGTCTCATCACTTGTAGTGAGCCGATGATCCTGCATATTTGACATTCCACTCCGATGTGTAAATGGAGTAATCACAGTCGGTGTGTATTTACTATATGTTGTAACTCTGTCTTCTCTTTGCTGATCGTTCGATAATATTTTACTGACACGCAGTGAGGGGAGAGACTCGGCTCTAGTGGGAGGCCGCCTCTATCCAACCATAAAGAACGCGTATCTTCTACAGCTTCATCATGACCATGTCACTTCATGTCACTGCTTGATGTATTAAACCTCCCAGATCTATGGGCACTTTCACACCTGCACTTCGGCTCATTTGGTTCAGGCCAAGTGGGAGAAAAATAGATATATCGTTGTCTTTCAAGCTGTAAAAATACTGTTATATGAACTGACAGTTAACTCAGTCATTGGCTAACATTCTCTTGTCAATACAATCACCAATCTTCTGTGGCGTTCACAAAGAGCTGATGCAAAAATAACTGATTATGAATATTATTATTGGAGGAACTGGACCTTGTGTTTTGCACCATAATATTAAAGGACAGTGTGTAGTCTTTTACTGAGGAATGGCTGAAATCCATGTAGTATAGGAGAAATCTTTACACACACTTAGTAATATGCACACGTGTTACCATGGTTAACTAATCTTGAATAAATACAGATTGTATACATGTATACAGATTGCCTAGAAAATGGTTTTTAATGGCTCATGAACCACAGATGGTTTAATGGTAGTTTAGCCTTTGAATTCACACAAAACCACGTACATGTATCTACTACTAGAAAATTCACACCAGTCAGCTTGGAAGCAGTTATTAAGTTTGACAGACAAATTTCTAGTTAAATCTTTCTTTTTCTTTCTCTCATTTTTTACATATTGTCCATTTTGAGTTTTATTTTGGTTTTAATGCTCAAAATTACAATATGCAGCCTTCAGTTTCTTAGAAAACCTTTTTAAAGTCCTGTTATTAAAGTAATGTAGAACTGATGAGCCAAAAGAATAAGTATTTTATTATTTGTGAAACCTACACTAAAGTATAACACAAATGCCCCACATTGCTGTTTTAAAGCAGATGACAGGCTGATCTTGTGATGTCCCCGCTAACATTATACGACGCCTAATATTATGACTTTCTTCGCAATTATGATTTTATTCTTGCAATTTTATGATTTCATT